TTCTTTTATCAGACTTTGACCGTAAACAGGCATGGAAATAAGGTGGGCAAGAGGAGTAACATGAAAAAGAATTTAATCATCAAAGTAACTTTGTTTTTTGTTTTGAAAGGAAAATGAATTTTATTAAGAATGTAATAAGGATTGAACAAGTTCATCAGAAGATGGCAAAGCAGAACAGAGGGAAGAAAGTAGAGAAAATGGCAGCCTTCCAAAAGTAAACATTCCAACATATTTGTATGAAATCCTTCATTCGGAGAAACCCAGATTTAGTCAGCCTATCTGCAACCGCAAGCATTGCTGAGGAGTTTATTCCCTCGCCCATCATCTCTACTACGTACGTAGCGCCGGGCTATCCACCTGCACTGGCAAACCGATTCATGAATTTCATCTTACTGTGTTGACAATGGCTGCACCATTCTCAAACATAAAAAAGAAAAACAATACAGAAAAGTCCCCAACATGAAACTTCACACAACAAAACAAAATGAAGCAGAACCACAGTGAAACCACAATCTTATCCACACCACAACCGACTGTTACAATCTCCCAGCACAAAACATTACCTCACAATCTTATCCTCGACGAATTTAGCCGAGGAATCCCACAATGCATTAACCTCTCTAAACATATGATAGAGTTCCACCTTCCCAATAAATCTCCAGAGTTTGTCATTATCATCAAAGATAATCTAATGAATTCATAGTCTGATCGAAGCGTTTTTCACCAATGAGATAGCAACTTTTGGAATCCGACTCGATGATTAACTTCGTCAAGCTCACCCGTGAAGAAGATGTAAATGTTTGTAGTACCTTTTTTATCTTAATAAGTTCAGAAAAATTTGAATATTGAACGGATAGCAAGTTGGATGGTATAATAATTAACTTTTGTTCATTATTCAAAATAATGAATAATATGTACTATCCATTCATGAACAAATATTTACATCTCTACTAGATCAATGAATAATGAACAAATATTTGGATGTAAATAGTGAATAATGAATAACTTTTGTTCATGCATCCATCAGTGCTTGACTTTCTTCCTTCTCCCTAGCAACAATTTGACTGCGAAATGAGAAAGGAAAATTTCTTGTCAAGTGAGGAAATTAAAGGATATCATAATCAACTTTGCAGCCATGCACAGGCAAAACGAGCTTCTAATTAACAAGTTACAAACAAGTTTATTTAATAATGTTTCTTTGTCATCGTATTTTGCATATAATAAAAGCTTAATTATAAAGTCATAAAGATTATTGAAAAGGACCTTGAAACTTGACATCGTCGCAGTAAGCTAGACAAAGACAACATTCTTACAACTCTCGAATTAGCTTTCTGACCAAATACACTGACGTTGCGGACTTTATTGCTAGAACTCAGATCAAATTAGTTCTCATGTTCATCAAAATATTTGAAGGCAAGGGAAGAGAGACTTTGCTACCGCTGCCAACCTTACTCAGTTGCTTGGGTACCTTTCTTTTTCCTTTGCTTTGCATGATCAAGCCTCTACAAGAATTTCCTTCCAATTTGAATGGCAAAGGTGTAAAAGAGGAAAAAATGATTAATTCGCGAAAAATTTAGAAAAAAAAAAAGAACTGAGTAAAGAGAAGAAAAAAGAGAAGAAGATGCCCAATTTGTAGAAGCTTGATCATGCAAGGAGAAGAAAAAAGAAAGGTACCCAAGCAACTGATTAAGATTGGCAGCGGTTGCAAAGTCACTCTCTTCCCTTGCGTTCAATAGTTTGAACATGAGAACTAATTTGATCTGAGTTCTAGCACTTTGTTGGATTATGAAGTTAGTTTCTTTCTTCAACTGCTCGCACTCAGATTCCATTGCTTCAAATTTTTCACGAACTTGTCTCTACTCTTCTCTAATACCCTTCTGTTCTTCGCTGATCTCCTCCATTTCTGTTTTCAACCTCTTAAACCTTTCCTGCCCTTCATCCCATTCGTTTTCTGTCCAAATCCAATAAAAAATTAATTAATCAATGTTCAAGTCAACCAATATGAGCAACACTTTACTAACAAATACTCCCAAATGATGGACAAGTGTCATTAATGGTGCATGTCGATTGCATCAGAACTATCGACGGGAATTAGAGAGGATTCCATCAAGCACAAATTTTGTTTACAAGGACAAAACAAAGATTGCAAGAAGTGGACGATCATATCTATTACCGTTTTTGTTTGCGATTTCAAGCGTTTCTTGGTGATCGGCATGTTGTGATTCTTGTGAAGACGACCTCGCATGGAGAAAGGAGCCATCACTATAACGCTCTCTGCCCCGAGTTATATAGGATGATTGTTAAGGAACACTATGGAAGTTGCTTTGAAGATATATCATGTAAAAGCTTTAACCTATTTTTAT